TACACAATACATTGACAAAAACAGTACTAGACTGTCTCGCTTTGATTTCGGAATGCTTACACATTGAGATGTTAGCTTACTACCAATATAGAAGTATTACATATATGATGTTTATCGATTTTACAGTGGGCAGAAATCAGCGCGTGTAAAGGCAGTTTTATAGGCTTCAAATAAATGCGTGGTGGAATGCTACAGTGTTATGTCAGATAGAAATTGCTGAAGGCAAATGTCTGGACGTTAATGTCCTTATGCTGGCTCTTAATGTTACCCCTCATCTACCACCTAAATGTGCGAAGCCGGCTCCTAAGTGAAAAAGGCTCCTATGAGCCACTTTGCCCATCTCTGCTCAAGACCATGGACTACACAGGGAAAATCATGTAGGTGGAGAGGTTTTACGGCCAATATCAGCCGAAAAGGTGAAATGGCACTAAAGCTTAATTTTCGATTGTTATTTAAATGCCATTTAACTTTCATTGGTTTGCAGATGATTTTTATTTAAATACGCCAAACAAGTGTCCCCACCATTGCTTGTCCCTTGAATTTGTTGTTGCTCTTGTTTGTTTGTTTATAAGTACATTAATCAACAATCTTTAGTTAAATAGCTCATCTGAAATTGGCCCTAAGTCTCTGTAGTGAAAGACAAGCTGCGCACAAAGCAGTGGTACTATAAGTAAAACTAAAAATTGGTATTTACTTCTATATTTGCATATGTATGTAAAAAAAAAAAAACTTGTATTTGGACCACCCTTTTTATTAAGTTTAAAACACCAAAATACTAATTTTTCAACTGCCGTCGCCATAAAGGAAAAAATGAATACTTTGTCAAAAAAGAAGAACAAAACTAACTCAACTATTTTATAAATGTGTGTTTGTACGCAACTAACTAAGAGCGCAATCGTTCATTAAAAAAATAATTGGTGTGAAAATAAAATAGCATTAAGTACAGTTTCAGTAATTGATTGCTTAGATATGTGACAACGTACTTTGCTTTTTAGTTCAAATCTTATAATGCAACCAATTGTATATTTTTTTTTGATTTTTTTTTTTCATACCAAAAGAGGGGCTACTGTAAAACTTTGAAACCCCTGGTTGTAGTTTTTGTGTGTGTGTTTTTTTTTGCAATTTCGTTTTGAATGGAGACGTATAAATTGATTTAATTGCATTTCAGATTTTATACTTAGGAATAAAGTGAAAATCGGAAAACTTATTTCGCATTCTTTAATTAAGTAGGCAAGTAAGAAATTTGCATTTCAGTAAAATACAAGAAGATAAATACTTTAAGTAGTGGCAGTTCATATATTTGTACTTTTTTTCTTTTACGTACTTAAATATATTATAGACACCTTTAGTACGTATATACGTTTTAAATAAGAGTAGTAAAAAGGTAGTGGTTGGCAAAGTGGGAAAGGCCGGGTGTTAAGTTCTTAAATAGTAAAGTGGTGAGTTAGAAATCAGTTTGAGTGGAGGCGGAGTTGGAAATACTTGAGAGTAACTAGGAGCATTTAAAGAATGAAGGATGTTATTGGGTTGATTCGGGTTGCGGACAGGCGATCATTTTGGACATTCAGGCATTCAGATGGCATAAGTTATAGATAAGTTTGACTCCTTTAAGATTTGTTTTGAATTTTGATAAGGATTTTTGGGCTCGAATTAAGAAGCACACTATCTCATCAAGAGCTCGTCAAAATAACTTTACCTTTCATTCACTAGTTTATCACAAAATGGATTCCTGGGCTGACGTTTCATAATATCAGATTCAGCTTCTTCATAGGCTAACGAAATAGCTGGTACCTATTTGTGATTACACATACATACAGACATATTTTATGACTTTTATTAGATGCATACAAACTTTGTATATAGCAAAAATAATAGAAAATAAATACATAAAAGTGAACCAAAATTTTATAAAATTATAAATATGTATATGTATAGTAGTAGTGGCCATATGGTATGACATAGCCAGTAGGTATGGATGAAGTTATACATATTCACATACATACATATGTAAAAACATATGATGCTTGTTTGTGTAGCTATGAAAGGGTTTAAAAAAAATAAATAAATAAGAAACTTAATAAACGATTTTAAAAATCTTTGCTGAATCATAGCAGTTCTTTACTTTCTGAGCGAATGCTGAAACACTGCAGATAGAATACGAAGACACACAAGAAGTATTGCTGCTGCCCGCGCATTTTGTGTTTAATAGTTATTAAGTAAAAAATTAAATTGTAATACCAAAATTGACACGCCGTATATGTAAAACTCTTCATGATACATACATTGTATATTTGTACGCTTCCTTCGAACAAATTTCCTGGAATTTGCTATTTTATATCTGTGTTTGCAAAACAAACAACAAAAAAATAACATCAAATTATACAACTTTCTTTTTAAAAATAACGCATTGTAACAAGTTCTATGGCTATCAATCATAACAATAAAAATAAATCATTTTGTTGCTGATTTCAACTTTACCATTTATAATAATGTATGAAAAAACATAAAATAGTTGCGATTCGCCGTGTTTAATGGTGAAACAGGGAACGACAATGGTGGAACATTTTTTTAATTTTTTTCAAAAAACATATTTGCATTACGCACACCAACACGCAATTTACTTTTATACTAAACAACAACCATGTTAGTATGATTAATGAAAATGTGGTGAATAGAGTATTTGAGCAATGGTAAACTAAAAAATAGTAAACAAATTATTTCAAAATTAAACGTACAAATTTGGCGCGCATATGCATGCGTATTAATGAAACAGATCCAATGCGGTATATGTCCAAAAATTAGTTTTGTGAATAATTTGGCAGTAAATTGACGCTGTGCGTAGCGCATTATGTATGTAAGCGAACTCTTTAACAAAGAAATTATACAATCTGCAATCCACTTCAAAGTGGCTTTGGTTGAAATTCGCTCGGAAGTGAATTCCAGAACTTGCCTGGATATTCGTAAAATAATTTGTTTGTAATACAAAAGCGTTAGTGTACGTACATATGAGGCTCTTTTTTTTTGTAAATATGTACCTATTAAAAAAATATGACATATGTGTATGTTAACAATAGACATCAAAATGGGGCATTATGAATGATTTATTAGTTGACACATTGACAAAAGTGAAATCGGTAAATGTATTATTTTATTTATGCGTCAGAGTTGAGAAACGTATACACATGTACACATGTATATATTTTAAATGGTTAATCATTATATTAAGACGAATTTATATAAGGTGGTGTTACTACTAGGTGTTGAAAAATTTTGTTTGAAAAAAGGAATAACAAATTAAAACATACTCTGCGTAGAATTAAGAAGCGTAACACTTCCAAAAAAAATTTTGTTCGTATTTGGTCTTCTGAAGTGGTCGAAAACAACTTTTGGTATCGATCAGCAGTTTGCACTTATCAATTATGTACATAAGTACCGGATTTTGGTTTGGTTTTATGCTTCTGCTCCATAACTGAAAAACTTAAATGCATTGTTTTTTTAAATTTATTTAATTAATATAAGATATGCTTTTTGTTTTAAATTTTGAAAAGCATCTCACATGTACTCCCAACTCTAACGCATAAAGTAAATTGCTAGGCAAGCTATTACAATATCTCTTGTTGTTGTGTGTTTTTTTTTTTTGTTACAATGTAATGATATGATCTATGCGCGCACAAATAAAAATTTAAAAACCCTTAAGCAAGTTTAAAAAAAATATATATATATAGATCCATGAAAGAAGATCAATTAATGAACAAGACACATTTCTAACTAATAATTTCTAAAATTATATAACAATAATAAGTGTTAATTTTATGAATTATATAAATACATATCGTCGTTTAAAGTAAAAACCTCGTATCGTCTTTCTGCTAAATCGCGTAACTGACATTTTTTGCCAAAAATTTGATTTGCTCACACAAGCTCTTGGCTCAATCCTTAACCATTCGTCCGGAAATATACTAGCCGGAAATGCGATTGCTTTTTAAAAAATATAGCCATTTTGAAATACGCGGTTTTGCATTTGGTTAATTCGCGGTTTTGTACTTTAAAAGACGATATGTATACATACATATGTATGTATAGGGGGTCAAATTAAAATAGTACAAAAACATCACGTAGACACTTAGTAAATGTTACTGACAATGATTTTTATGTAGCTATTCGTTGACTGACAAATGAAATTATTTTTGGGCGCATATGACGTTTTTATGTTTGTTCGCATAACTTATAAATTACTTAAAAATACAACAACTGTTGAAGGTTAGTTTAGTTTGCATTTACAAGTACACTTTTTACCACAATGTAGGTGAGTTAAAAATATGAAGAGAAAATACATCGATTATTTACTAAAGAAATAAACAACGATAGTAGGTTAAACGATTGCTAAATTATACATAAAATGAAAAAGGAATAACAAAAAATTGTAATCATTCCAGCCTGGAATTATATGGCAGTTCGGATGTGCATTGGTATTTCCTTTTGAAAATTAAAAAAAAAAAATTTAATAAAAAACTCTATTTTTAAAAACACAGGCATGTTAATCGAGCACGTTAGTATGTTGGGGGACCACTTTCTTATTTATTATAGGCTTTGCTTAAACAGCATAGGAAATAGCGGTTTTCAATCATTTTTAATTTGGAAGTAAAGGCCAAAAATGTTCCACTAACACTGTATAAAGTAATAGGAAATTAATGCATCGGGTAGATTTAATGTTACAACAGAAAAATATACAAATGTAAGGACACAACATAAAAAAATATTGCAGTAAGATAAGGCTCTTTACAAGTTGCCATAAAAGCCAAGTGAAGTTTCAAAACTGGCCGAGCCTATTTACAATTATTATTGCACTTTGTGAATTATACGACCCAAGTTGTGTATAAATATTATGCAGGAAAGATTCTTCTTTCAAATTTGTGCAGATTGAAAACCGCTGTCTTATAAGTATGTATGTAAAAATGCAAAAAAAAACTTTGACTCAGTTTTTTGCTTGATTTCGGCACCTTGAATTGACTAATTTGTCGTTGAATGGATCACGTGGTGGACGCTTCATAATATCGGCTTCAGCAATCTCGTAAGCCAAGGAAATCGCAGGCACCTAGTTTTATATTTCAACATATATGAACAAAAAAGTCATTTAAATACATGTAGATTTGTAGGTATGCAATTTGACAAATAAAATAAGAAAAAGGATGTACAAATAAAAATTGCTTACTTTAAAAATGATATGTATAGAAAAAAAATATATATAGTAAAAAATGGGTTCGGCTTAGACTTAGGCCAAGACCAATTTTGCCTTTCATGAAATGAATTTAGCAAATCTGTTTCTGTCGAACTAAATTGTTCTTAGAACTGAGTGGGTCTCAGTATGAGGTCTCATACGAGAATCGAAACTAAAAAAAATTATAGCTTCAAGCGGGTCCCGATTTATTGTTTTAAAATTTGCATTTTTTATACTGAATTGTTGTGAACAAACTTTTTGATCTGTGTGTCTGATAAGGTCCATCAAAAAATAAGAAAAACAGAGAATTATTAAGAATATGTTTTTTTTTTTTTTTTTATTTTGAATCCGAAATATCAGTTTCAATTAAAAAGAAAAAGTACACTGAAAGCCTTCAAGAAAAATGAATTTAAAATGATCAAAATTAAGCGTAATCCTAGTGAGATATTTTTTCTTTAAAACGCGAGGCTCTCGACAGCTCGCGATATCAAATTCATTTCACAAAAGGTATACAAATTAGTTAAACTTATACAAAATACGAGTATATGGATCACAAAATGTTGATAACCGTAATAGAAGCGCGAAGAGTAATGACGAAATGAGAGATATTTAGCTTACATCTAGTTGATGAACCCTAAATATATTTTTTTTTACCTATTAGAGAACTTAAAGCTTTTTAATACAAATATATATGCATCATATTTTAATATTAGTCACAAATGAGTTGAAGATATTGTATTATCAAACCTTAAAATCTATCTGATACAAAAATATTTCGTCGTTTAAAGTACAAAACCGCGTATCGTCTTTCGTCCTGAAATATACTAGGCGGAAATGCGATGAGTGTTTTTACTCTCTAGAAAATAATTTATGCAACCTCACATACGCTGTTTTGCATTATCCTGATACGCGCTTTTGTATTTTGTTGATAAACGGTTTTGTACTTTAAACGACGATTTATACTTATATTGTAATATTTATAAACCCATGTAACCTAAGGTATTTTATTACATTTATATTTTATAAAACAACATATGTAACATATACATACAGAAATAGTTGAATTAAGCGAGTTTATAGGTATGTATTTAGCACCATTCCAATACTGAAATAATTCAGCTAAGCAGATTTGTAGGACATTCTAAGTTCAGCAGCTTACTTCAGCTTCCATTACCCACTTGATGATAGCTTAAATAGCTGCACCGCCGCTAAATAAGACAACAGGTTGACACTCTTTTCCTCGAAAGCTCCATTAATATTCGGTTATTTTTTTTTACATTTATGTTGCTCAAAAGCGCTTTGATCAAGCTTACATAGCATTGCTGGCGTAGCACACATAATTAAAAAAATACAAAGTTATCTTACATAATAGCACCTGTTTCCTGCTTATATATAATAGATCTGCAATTTATAACACTTAAAGGCGAGTGTTTTCTAGCGATAGTTGGATCTTCTCAGTTGCTGAGGCATTTAGCATAGAAATATATGTATATTATAGGTGGAAGCCAGGATATCTTCCAACACGTTTTCATGTCGTAGCGTTTTTCATATGATTTTCTAAATTGTATGATAGCAATAATGAAAATGTACTATTTTTCCCATTAAACAAGCTTTAGCCATTGTAG